GAAACACAAAACCCTTGCTTTAATTAAAGATGGTCGTGTCATTGGTGGTATCTGTTTCCGGATGTTTCCATCCCAGGGATTCACAGAAATTGTTTTCTGTGCAGTAACCTCAAATGAACAAGTCAAGGTAAGAGAAATCCTGGATCTTAGCAGAAAAGCAGAGGCCAGATATCTTGCTGAAGCTGTGGTGAATGGGAGATGGTTCAAGGTGAAGTTCAGGCTTTCCCTACAAGTTTTCTCAATGCTGAGTGTCTATGTGGGCACAGAGCCTCAGTCTGTGTCCTCTCAGTAGGGATACACAGAGGCTTTGTTCAACCTTCCAGCAGAGTACAGGAGCACCACACACCCTAGGATGTATCCCGAGGGTAGTGGATGGCAGATAGAGGTTTGAAAGTAAATCTGTGTTTATTGTTCATTTTATGTAACAGAGACAGACAGACAGATAGGAGAGTGGCATGCACTAATGTACACACACACTTGCACACACAAACAAATAAATGAATGAAATAAATAATAAGCTGATGAGGACTCTTCTGTACCACACTCTTTTTAGCCGTTGCTTCACAAGTCAATGCATTCTTGGCTTTGTTGTATTACTTAGGTTCCACTATAGCCCAAATACTCACAGGTAGGGTTGCACCAAAGCTTTGCTGGATCTTCAGGCAAAGTTCAGAGCATGGCACAACCCATTTATGCAATGTGCTCTATAAACACTGGGAAAAATTATTGGGATTTAGGATAGGTTAACCTAGAAAATCCAATGCTTTAAAGAAAAAAAAAAAAAAAAAAAAAACCCAAGGATGAGGATGTAGCTCACTGATAGGAGGCTCACCTGGCATGAACAAAGCCCTAGGTTCAATCCACAACATTACAAAAATAAAAATGAAATAAAAAAAAAATCCAACATCAAGGAATTAAACTTCTCCACTTGGCTGTACTTTAACCTAGTTAACCAAACAGCCTATGTGAAATGTGATATGTATGTGTGCAAGTCAGAGTGAGACAGTCTGGTGAGATTCCACACTACAGGGCTTGACAGTTCCTACATGTAAATGTTGTGTTCTTTGCTGTAATATTACTCTTGCTGTGTGAACTCTTCAGAAATGTGTGCCACCCTTGCCCACAACTTTGAGCTCTGAGCTCTGAGCTCTTCCTTCAGCTTCCATCGTCAGTTCCAAAGCCCCTCCAAGCACACACTTTCAGGTCAGGCTTTTCTTAGGGAATTCTTCATTTGTTTTGGTGTGGCAGTTCTGAAGTAGGTTTGCCCTAAAGAGTACAGGAAAATGGCTGCCTACTGAGCTGGTATCTAGATGAAAGAACTTCCCTGCACCCCCGCTTCCAAGCCTTCTTAGTCAAAAAGGAGCATCTCCAAAAGTGTTTTCTATAACCAAGAAAGATACAGCTCTGATTTAACCTTATTCTTTTAGGAAACACAAAACCCTTGCTTTAATTAAAGATGGTCGTGTCATTGGTGGTATCTGTTTCCGGATGTTTCCATCCCAGGGATTCACAGAAATTGTTTTCTGTGCAGTAACCTCAAATGAACAAGTCAAGGTAAGAGAAATCCTGGATCTTAGCAGAAAAGCAGAGGCCAGATATCTTGCTGAAGCTGTGGTGAATGGGAGATGGTTCAAGGTGAAGTTCAGGCTTTCCCTACAAGTTTTCTCAATGCTGAGTGTCTATGTGGGCACAGAGCCTCAGTCTGTGTCCTCTCAGTAGGGATACACAGAGGCTTTGTTCAACCTTCCAGCAGAGTACAGGAGCACCACACACCCTAGGATGTATCCCGAGGGTAGTGGATGGCAGATAGAGGTTTGAAAGTAAATCTGTGTTTATTGTTCATTTTATGTAACAGAGACAGACAGACAGACACAATTTAGTTATCTCACACCTTGTCTATAAAGTCAGATAAGTATTAAAGAAATTCCAGGAAGAGTTGGATGTGGTGGCTCCCATGTTTAATCCCAGCACTCAGGAAAAAGGGGCAGACAGATCTCTGAGTTTGAGGCAAACCTGGTCAACCTATTAAGTTGAGAACAGCCAGGGAGACCCTGTCTGAAAACAAGAGAGACAGAAAGAAGGGAATGTAGCTGGAGCCTTTTCTCTGTCCCCCTTGGTCCTGTAGCAGCTTATAAAATGAAACAAAGTCAGAGACTGAATATTAATTATAAACTGTTTGGTTTATGGCTCAGGCTTATTACTAGCTAGTTCTTACATCTTAAAATAACCCATTTCAATTAATCTATATATCACCACGTGGCCAGTGGCTTACCTATACTTTCGCATCTTGCTTCTTGGGCAGCTTGCTGGCATCTCCCCAGCTCCACCCTCTTTTCCCTGTATCTCTGTTTGGATTTCACACCTGGCTATATACTGCCTTGCTATAGGCCAAAGCAGCTTCTTTATTAACCAATGGTAATAAAGCATATTCACAGTGTATAGAAAGATATCTCACAACAGTGGTTCTTAATCTTCCTAACACTGTAATACAGTTCCTCATGTTGTGGTGACTCCCAACCATAAAATTATTTAGTTGTACTTCATAACTATAATTTTGTTACTGTTATGAATCGTAATATAAATATCTGATATGTAGGATATCTGATATTTGACCCCAAAGCGGTCAAGACCCACAGGTTGAGAACCACTACAAAAGAGTATGAAGAAACTTTGTGATGATGGAGCTGTAAGCAGTTCAGGAGTCAATGGTAACTACAAAAAAATTGTTGGAAGGTCTGAGGCAAGTTGTCCAACATAATCATGTGAAAGCTGCTCACATAAGCCATGTATGTGCAGAGTACAAACTTTCTAGAAGATCCATTTCAAAAAAACAAGTGGAAAGCAAGAGGTTAATTTTTCAAATGTATTTAATTTAACCTAAAATTCATTACCACGAGGAATTATCAACAGCATCTATAGTCTGTGTATGTGCTAAGTGTTTGAAATTGGTGTGTAGTTTACCCTCACAGCTTGTCTTAGTTTGAAATGGCCACATTCAAGTATTCACTGGGCACAAGAGGCTTCTGTACTGGGTAGTATAGGGTTAAGGACCTGTTGGTACTTTCAGCTTCAAAGCATCACTGCCATTTGCAGAAACCAAAAATAAGTCACTGGAAGAAGTCATTTTCTGTTTAAAATGTAGTTAGTTTTGGACATGGGCTTTCTTTTACGGTTCAACACCCCCTACTCCAGTTAAAGACAGATGATGCTGGTCAGACATGGAGCTGATGCTGGTCTCGTATTTGATTAAAACTGAGGATGGTCTTGAGCCCCTGATCCTGCTCACTCTACATTTTCCTCTCTTTTTATTGAAGTGGGTTTTCACTCTGTAACTCATACTCTCTTGAAATTCTCTATGTAGTTCAGGCTGGCCTTGAACTCAGTATTCTTGCTTCAATTTCTAGAGTGCTAGGGGTTATGGGAATATAGGCCTGAAATCTAGCTCTTTGTGGTTTTGTTTTGTTTCTTTTTTTCTTTTAGACAGAGTCTCACTATATAGCTATAGTTGCCATTGAACCTTTATGTTGACCAGGCTGGCCTGGAACTCACAGAGGTCCACCTATTTCTGCCTCCTGGCACAAGTGAACTTTTTAGCTTTGACTCCTAACACTCAGCATCAAATTGCAGATGGAGGCCTCTCACAGGTTGTCTGGGGAAGGCAAAGACTCAAATTAGATATAAAGTTCCCTTTAGTGCTTTTTCAAAAATTCTGACAAGATGCCTTTAGACACTGCTATTGTTGTCTTTATCACCAACCCATTCCCCAATGTGAAAAGTGTCCAGATGTCTCCCAAAGTACAGAACTTAGGACTTCAATTTAAAAAAAAAAAAAAAAAAACTTTGTTTGGCTATATACAGAGAGAAACCTTGCCTTGGAAAACACACCAGTAGCTTGTAAATTGAGGTAATTTGTTTTTTTTTTTTTTTTAAATGGTTATACCAAGCACTTAGTTTGGAAGAATTGATTAAGGTGGACATAGGCACTCTTAGGAATACCAGTGGAAAACTGAAGATGCTTTAATGCTGGTGGGAAACTTTTTAATGGCTTCCAGAAGGGCATTTCCCTCCCCTGCCACAGCACAGACCATGAAATTTTCTAAAAACTTGAAGCAAGGTGGCCAAACATTACAGACTCAGTTGGAATACCAAGGGGAAAAATATTCAGTTATTGCAGGAATATGGGTGAAGGGTTACTTACAGGGGCAGAAGTTATTCATAGATAGCTGCATCACCAAGGCCTACTGAAGCATGTGTAACAGCCCTCAAAACCTGGAAACCTGGAGCACACTGCACAGCCAGCAGGCAGCTCAACAGGCTGAAGAGTGTCCTTTCCAAAAAGTTCCACTGGTCTGAGTCTTTCAATAGTCTTTATTGTGTACACACACACACACACACACACACACACACACACACACACACACACACAGAGGGAATGAAGGAAGTCCTGAGTGAATGTGTGTTGTAGCCACAAGCCCACCATGTCAAAGACCCTAGCCTCCACCCATGGGAAAAGGGCAAAGCCTCACCCCTCCTCCCAGAACAAGGCTCAGAAGGATGACAAAGCCTTCCTCTGGTTCTTGCACAGCTTTTGATAGTATGTGCAGAAAATGTTCACCATAGTGTTCTTCTTTAATACAGTGGTTCTCAACCTGTGGGTTCCAACCTCTTGGTTGGCAGTTCTCTGTGGGGGCAGTTCGAACAACCCTGTCACAGGTAGCCTAAGACAACCAGAAAACATAGATATTTACATTATAATTCATAACAGTAGCAAAATTACAGTTATGAAGTAGCAATGAAAGTAGTTTTATGGTTGGGGGTCACCACAATGTGAGGAACTATATAAAAGGGTCACAGCATTAGGAAGGTTGAGAATCACTGCCTTAATATTTACAACCTGAGGACCTCTTCTCTACAGAGGCTGCCCCACTGAGATTAGTTTCCTTGTTCAGTTGTATGCAACAATCCAGCCTCCGTGTACAACTTTGTATAATAAACATGCTGAGCTTCTGGGGTATCCTGAATTTGGGGGAGGGGGTGTTGTAGTTTCTCTATTGCATCACACAGATCTCAATGTGTGTGTATGCCCATCCTTTCTTAAGCCCCAGTCTTCCTGAAGCAATTTTGAGTTATTTGCTTCTATATGTGTGCGGGGAATTGAACACAGGTACTCTGTAAGAGCAATCAGTGCTCTTCACTACTGAGCCATCTCTTTAGCCCCAGCCATATGACAAACCCTTTTTAATGCCTCACTTAATCATTTCTAATTCTTCTCCTTTTACCCATTACAAATACATTGTTCTGAATCCACGCCACACAATAGAAACACAAGTTTCATATATAATTCTTTTTCTAAGTCAGGTGTAGTAGCCTCCAGGCCAGCCTGTCTCAAAACACCAAATAAATAAATGAATAAATAAAATAAAAATTTCTAGTAGTCATATTACAAAGTAGAAAGAAACAAATGAAATATTTAAAGTTTGTATTTAACCCAATATGTCCAAAATATTGCCATCTCAACATGGAAGTAAGTATAAAATGTATATTCATATTTTTTGCTGGTTGACATTTTATTTTATGCTCCTAGCACAGTCCAATTGGCACTAGTAAGCTGTTGTGCTGAATTGTGCAGGTCCATACTATAATTCTGTGTTGTTTTTCTTCCTTGTGTCACTATGACTCCTTCTAGGAGAGATAATTCACTTTCTTTTCTATTCACATTATATCCAAACTCACAGTGTCTTGGTATTGTGGTGCTTTAAGGAAAATGTCCTTTGGTGACACCATTGGAAGAACAATTTCCCAAAAAAGGAGATGCTCCTGCTGACCTTTATTGGACAGAGGACTGTACCTGATAGTTGGTCCTGGAAGCCATGCTGTAGCGATGCATATTGGAGAAAGTCCTGAGAAGGTGCTTAGGTTGTTGAGGAGTCCCCCAGTCATACAAAGAGAGACTCTGGCTTGGATACTGGTTGGTTTGAGGCTTGGGAGGTGGAAATGAACAAAAGTGAGGGTCAGATCCTGTATGCGGTGCTGTGAATCTGTGGAGGTGGTGTCTGTGGGTGTGGATGAAGTGTTTGTGTGAGGACAGTGACCTCTGGATGCTCCGATTCCTGTCTTTTTATGAGGTTCTGAAACAATCCTAAATTCACCAGTCTTTCCTGAGTTTTGTACTTGCTTTTTTTCCATTTAAACCACTCAGTTTTCATTCTTTTAATTTATTTTTATTTTAAAAACACATCTTTATTAATTTTTTGATTTTTTTTCTTTCTTTATCCCCCCCACCTTTTTGTTGTTGTTGTTGTTTTTTGAGACAAGGTTTCTCTGTGTAACAGTCCTGGATGTCATAGAACTGACTTTGTAGATAAGGCTGTCCTTGAACTCACTGAGATCTGCCTGCCTCTGCCTCTCAAGTGCTGGGATTAAAGGCATGTGCCACCACTGCCTGGCCTATTTTTTAATTTTTTATTTTTTGAGAAAGAGCTATATGCCAAATATAGACCCTATCACTTCAGCTTCCTGAGTGCTAGCATCACACCTCAGCATCCTGAGTGCCAGCATCACACCTCAGCATCCTGAGTGCCAGCATCATACCTCAGCATCCTGAGTGCCAGCATCACACCTCAGCATCCTGAGTGCCAGCATCACACCTCAGCATCCTGAGTACTAGCATCACACCTCAGCTGTGGGGTCTGCCAGAGTCCAGCTCCAACCTGTTACCAACTGTCAAAGGGTTCTTGGGTGGAGGAGAGAGGAATAAGGAAATAATAGATAGAAAGATAAAAAGAGATGGTAAAGAACACAGAGGCACAGGATAGCTTTGGGAGGGCCCTGGGTCAATACCTAGCTGCCCAGAGCTTTATTCAAAAGGGCTTTTTATAATATGCCAAGGGGAGAGGCAAAAGACCTCCCCCATGCAAGATCAAAGATTACCATACAGCCAAGTGTAGACCCTTCCAAACACCTGGTAAACATGCCTGTGGCCTATTTGCATCCTATTATGCAGCCCTGCTGGGTAAAGCAAGCCCAGATTCTCTGACCCTGAGTAAGGTCTCACTAGGAAGCCTCTGTGGGCCTTCACACTCAGCATCCTGAGTGCTAACACCACACCTTAAGGATCCTGAGTGCCAACATCACACTTCAGCATCCTGAATGCCAGCACCACACCTCAGCATCTTGAGTACTAGCATCACAGGTGCACACCAGAATACTGATACTGTTTTCATATATTAAAGCATTCATTTATTCAATGTTGTCCACAGCTTTTGCTTCCACTTTGTTTTTTGCTTACTCAGATTGTGGGTTTCTTAGATTTTTCTTGGTCTGATAAACCAAGCTGTACATCCGGTGTCTGTGATGCAGTTGCTAGAAGGGTTGTTGGTGCCTGGAACAGGTAAATGCTTAGATCAGTACACACTTCAATGAAGATTTGCATGGCTCATTTACATACCTCAGATATGCTAATGAGGATCAATACCATTCATCTACCTACGTTCTTTCATCTCAGCTTCTCAAAAAAGTTCAAGATTAAACTCACCATCAGCATTCAGCAAAGGATTGTAGGACTGAGCTTAGAGTCTCAATGTGTTATTTTCAAAGAACCAGGAAGTAGTATTTGCCAGTTTTTGATGGTTTTTGTCTTGAACAACAGATTTTGAATGTCTTACTTTGTGATTCCTTTTCAAAATTTAGACATGGAAGAAAGGTTTGTTAATATAATAACTCCTTCTAGAAAAACACCGGTTGGTAAAATATTTAAAACTACAATATGCTTTCATTTTCTGTCATGTTTTTAGGAATTTCTTTTCTTAAATATCTTTACTTTCACCAGGGCTATGGAACACACCTGATGAACCATCTCAAAGAATACCACATAAAGCATGACATCCTGAACTTCCTCACATATGCAGATGAGTATGCCATTGGCTACTTCAAGAAGCAGGTCAGTTCCCAGTGAAGCTTTGCTGCCTCAGCCTATTTGCATGCATGTGTGCATGCATGTGTGTGTCCAGGTGCACACACCTAATTGTGCACACATGGCAGCCAAAGCAAGACACTGGATGTCTTCCTCTATTGCTTTTTGCCTTATTGCTTTGAGACAGAATCTTTCACTGAATCTGAATCTCTTTTAAAAATCAAAAATTAGGGCTGGAGTGATGGCTCAGTGGTTCAGAGCACCAACTGCTCTACCAGAGGACCCGGGTTCAATTCCCAGCACCCACATGGCAGCTAACAACTGTCTGTAACTCTAAGATCTGACACCCTCACACAGATATACATGCATACACCATTGCACATAAAATAAAGATAAATAAATTGTTTAAAAAAATTAAAAATTAAAGACAAATTGATTCAATATCTGGAAAATGTTCATTTCTGACAATGTCTGCAGAGAATTACAGTCCTAGGAACTTGGACGTCATTCCACTCTTGAATTTACAATCCTCTTGCTGGGATTAGTGGTGTATATACTGCTACCTCCAGACACTTTAGTTAATTTAAATTTGTTTCCTGTTGGCACTGTTTGTTTTTTGATGATTCTGTTTGTCATGGTCTACTCTGTGTGGCTGCTGCTCAGAGCAGTGCAATGATGTTGGAAAGAGTGCTCACCTTAATCCTTGGCACCAGGCTTGGCCCAGAGCCAGCCCTTAGCAGGCAGTTGGACAGTGTTACTATACATCATCCTGATAAGTGAACTGATTTGCCTTGTAGGGTTTCTCCAAAGAAATAAAAATACCTAAAACCAAATATGTTGGGTACATCAAGGATTATGAAGGAGCCACTTTGATGGGATGTGAGCTGAATCCTCAGATTCCATATACAGAGTTTTCTATCATCATTAAAAAGCAGAAGGAGATCATTAAAAAGCTGATAGAAAGAAAACAAGCCCAGATTCGAAAAGTCTACCCTGGACTTTCATGTTTCAAAGATGGAGTTCGGCAGATCCCT